AACTCATCAGAACTTTTCCTAGTTTGCTACAAGTGACTTAGGATTTCCGGTCTACGTTTGGTCCGGATCGAGAAAAGGGACATCCGGGCGATTTTGCATCGGCGCCGTCACTGCAGTAGGTCAGTGCGTCACAGCGTCACAGTTGGCATCTAATCACTCGAGTGAGACTTCATTAGACGTTTGTCTGCACTGAATTCATGGACGGACTATCAAATAGGAGGGGGGGGGGAAGAAAACTGAATCAAGTCATAATTTTTCTATCACGTCGCGTCCTATCATGTTTTGCCGCCATGTCAAGGCGCAGACTCTTCAACCCTTTTTTTTTCATTCGTTTCTATTTAGGTCTAAATACAGAGGCCTTGTGATTATCTTTCACATATAATCCTAACTGAGTGTAACGTCAACAGATAGGACTGTTGCTTAGAATATGTGTGCCTTGATAACATAAAGAAAATAAGGGAGATGAAAGTTTGGTAACAAACTAAAGAAAAAGTGTGTGTGTGTGTGTGTGTCGTAATCAGTCCATTGATAAGTAAGCACCATAATATAGCTAGGGTGTTCGCCTGTCAGCTCAATTTGTTCTGCTGTGTTCTCTTCCGAAATATACTTTCATTACGAGAGATAATGAACGAAACTAAAATTAACTTGACATGCTGATAATAAAAACCAAATAATTAGCGTTACATATGTATATAAAATTGCAGTTCCTGTCAATTTTCTGCAGGTTTCCTACTGCGAACCGAATATAGAACTCCTACATTTATTATAAGTTTCTTTATGCTTTTGTTGGCCTGTACGACAACGGAGGATGATACGGCATTGATGAAGTATTTCTGTCGCTTTAGAGTTTTTTTTTAATATTTTAACAGTGAGCCTTAATTTATTTCGTTCTCTATCCTTAAATATTGTAATCAAATATTTAATATAATTATATGTATATTTTAATTTCTTCTGATAGTTATTCTTAAATTATGCAATAAAAACATTTCCTCGTAATGACATTCGGTGAGCGATTCTGTTGTTCGGAATATTCTAACTAGTCTAAAAATTTCCCTGTGAATGGATTTTAAAATTCTGTTATAAGGTAGAGAGGTAGTACATTATTTACTGAGAATTCATTTCTTATTTACCCATTTCCATCATTACAGAACGTTCATCAGTCTCTGTTTGCCAAGACACGTGGACTGGTATGTTAATCAGCTCTTAGCAGTCTCAGTGCCAAAGACAGGGAACTGTCTCTTTAACTGTTCTGAAATTTTATTAAGAAACTAAATAAATGATGGGAAACGAATTAGCAATGAATAAGGAATTAGAGTTTCCTTCTTATTTAAAATTTTATCTGCTATATTAGGGGCACGCGAGAACGTAGTTGGTTGAGGCACTCTGCTACAAGCCGGAAGGTCGCGGATTCTATATCTGATGAGGTCATTTGATTTTAGAATTAACCGAATCCTGCCAGCCGCACTATGGCCCTGGGGTCGACTCAACCTCTAACAGAAATGAGCACCAGGAACCTATCTGGAAGTAAAGGGCTGCTAGCACGTAAAACTGACCTCGCCGCCGCCTGTGAGCCAATTGTCTAGAAAATGTGGGAGCTTCGACGTCTCACAAACCTATGGGCCTCCACGAACTGTTACAGGGACAGCTTTACCTTTCTTTACCTGCTATATATTATGATATTGATTTAGAAAGTAGTCATACGCCGTGCGAAGAACGGGTATTTCTACTGCTTAATTAGAGAAGATAATACTAATACGCGCAATATATTGGGAAATAAATAATAAACATAGTACAAATATATTATTCATGGCATGAGAAACACTATTCGGGATAACAGGCCCATGAAGGACAAATTAAAGAAGAGAAAGACTAATAAACCATATTATAAACAGAATAAACAAGAAATGATACGCGACGGAACGAAGGTAAAGCAAAGGTAAAGGTATCTCTGCAAAGGGCCGTGGAGGTCCATAGAGTTGTGAGACGTCGAGGCTCCCACATTTTCTAGAAAATCGGCTTACAGATGGCGGTAAGGTTGTCATCCTTACGCGCAGGCCGCCCTTTACCCCCGAGAAGATCCCTGGGGCTCATTTCTGTTAGAAGCTGAGTCGACCCCAGGGCCATAGTGCAGCTGGAAGCATTAGGTCAATTGAAAAATCCAGTAACCTCAACGGGATTCGAACCCGCGACCTTCTGGTTTGTAGCATAATGCTTCAACCAACTACGCTGCCGCGTGCTCCGACATAACGAAGAGAAATTATTAATTCGACACTGTCTAAAACGTTTAACTGCATTTGTTTCATATTCACAACTTGATATTTAAGCATTTAATAAATTGTGATATATTTAATATGTCCAGTATTAAATCAAAATAGTAATTTGGGGGAGTTTGGACCGAGAATGACCAAACAAATAATTATAGGTAAGCAGTCTTGAAGATAAGTGGTAACTCTTTTGCCTAAATTATAAAAGACGTATTTACAATGTTGGCTGCGTAGTAACGACTTAATGGAATAAATATAAATTACAAAAAGGCATCACAACATTACGGCCGAATATAGTATTTCGTGATAATGGAGAGTGTTTGAATGGATCATGGTTTCTTCACCTTCACAGATGGCGGTAAGTTTGCCAGCCTTACGCGCCGGCCTTGCTTTACTGCCCAGGAACCCACCCACGTACACACAAAATTAAAAATTAAATTAAATTATTAAAATAGCCCCAAACTAAGTCTACTCCTAAGAAAAGAATTCAAACAGCAGAAATATCCCCCCTCCCAACTTAATAAATAATATCTGCAAGCATTCATTTTGCGGAATTTATATTTAAAAGAGAAAATTTTAGTTAGGCCTCGAAGTATAGCAGCAATGCTGGTTGGTCCGTACACGTAATTTCATGTTTGTATCTAAAAGAAAGTTCTCTGTATAAAATCCCTTTACAAACCCATATGCACTTGCAAATGAGCGAATTGACACTGACGTCACACGGGGCAATAACTCTTTCGGTTCGCCATAAAATATTCCGCGCCTAAATTCAGTTCATAGACTTCTCAAATTTGAGACAGGTCCACAACACTTGCTCGCGAATAACTGTAAGAAGAGCGCAAGAAACATTAAATCACTAATATATGTACACAAAGACGGTTTCCTGTTTAGCTTTTCGTGAGTTTCCTGGTTTAACCACTCTTATTTCATGTCCTTCTTTCACTAGTACACGACATGTTTCCATCTCAGAAGGACCATCGTCAGGTGTATATATTTAGCAAGATGCTAAAATACAACATTATTAAATCGCTAAATAATCGTTCAGTAACTGAATCATATCCCAGTAAAATCAATGGACCTGATGAGACGTTAGAAATATTACGCAATTCTCCACAATTAGTAAGTTATGCCTTATGAAATACACGATCATTCAAGAGAATAAGATCTAAAACTTTGTGACAATAATATATTAATACAATTATTGTGTTTCTGGACATTATCCCGTGTCCTGTTTTTATTTAAAACACACAACGTTTCGGAGATAGTGATTAACTCTATCGACTGGGCCCAACTGAACAGATTCCACCTGAAGACGGAGACAGAATCCAATTTCCGAAACGTTGTGTGTTTTCAACAAAAAAAGGATGATGGATTATGTCCAGAAACACAATAATTGCATTCCAGTGCAGTAATAGAGAAACTAATTCTAGTAGATGATTTTCGTGGTCATCTGCAGGTAAAACAAGCGATCTTATAAGCTTTAGTGAAGTTGATTTGAGCACATCCAGATAATGTTTCTGTACATTCGCTTACACGCCTGTATTTTCATTCGCAAATGTTTGTCTTGATATGTAACAAATCGTTCGCCGGTGAAGACAAGTCTAATAATAGATTAAATGTGTTACTGTTTACAAACAATTAAGTACGCTTTATGAAAACTAGGAGCATTTTTTGGATAATCTGACAAGCTAAATAAATAAATTTCAACTCAACTCTCGAGGATTTTAAGCAGTATACTTACTACTTAGCTACATACCTCGTGATACACGACTGTGACTAATCAGGTTTCTCGTAATTAAAATTGAACTGATAATAAGACGTGAACCTTTGATGATTTACTTTTTCGAATGTCCGGAGACCAGAGGCATAACATTCACTTTGTTTCATACCTCAAGTTCTCTCAGAGCTGTTTCTGCAGGGTCTCTGACCAAAAGGGAAAACTCCAGTGTACACGCAATCATCACATTCGTCCTCCAAGCTGATGTTCTAACCCGAACTTTCTGGTAGTCCAAACCCAATCACCCAGGCTATATTCAATCTCTTCAGTGGCTGTAGAAATGCTTTCCGCTTTCTATATTAATATGTGATGCATCTACCGTAATGGGTTTGGGAATTGCGTTGCTGATTACCTTTAATAAATACAGTACGCAATGATACAGCCTGCTTTCTTTTTTTCATTTTGTAGAAAAAATAACTTTTCTATTAGAGATTTTATTTTGTTGTTCACGCCAACATAATATAACTTAAAATATCTTCATAACGTGCGGAAATTACTGGGGTTTTGGATTTCGTCCATCGTCCGGTATTCTAGAAACTGTTTCGAAAACTGGACCTGTTCCGTCCTGAGATGTGGGGGGGGGGAGACACCTGTTGGGTCCCTCCAAAAGAGCTAACCTCAATCACTGAACCCTAAGGGACCCAACATAGTGAGTGTCCCCCACCCTCACCTGAGGACAGAAACTTATAAAGTTTTGGAAACACTGTGTTTCCTAGTTTTTAGAATAGAGGACGATGGGCGAAATCCAAAACCCCAGCAATTCTGGGTACTATGTACCATCGTCAGAACCCTTTAGAAATTCATAATGGGTCAGAATCAAGTGTTTACAATTGCTCCTTCCTCCCTTACACATATTTTTGCAAATACATTTTTTTTATTTTACATCTTGCATTGGTCTAGATGTTGGCTCCGGGCTACTGATATTTCAGCCTAACGACATAATGATTGTGATGTTGCAGCCCCACGGTCGGCTGTATGAGAGTTTCAGTGTCTTCTGCCCATGTGAACAACTCGACGATTTACGATTGGTGGAGGAGGAGGACGTGCTCATTGATTGGAGTCGCCCTATATACCTCAACTTCACTCATCACCTCATCTTGGAGCATCTGGAGAACTTCTACACGGCATCTATAGGCACCACAGACAAAGTGTGTGGTGACATTTATGTATGCACCAGTCCATTGGAGGACGTCCAGCCCGAAGAGTGAGTAACAAGGACATGCTGATTGTTGTCACTGCAGAGTATCCCTCACGTGAAGACACCTTGCTGGCCAAGTCTGTTATGGATGGTTGCGTATACTGACCTAAATGGAAGCACAGTAGTTACTGTGAAGATCTATTGTTGTCATCTGGTGTTGATTTCTATCAGTACTCTTATTCATACTATCACTTTAAGTATTTGATGGGACAAAACCACCTCTTTGTTCATATTGTCTCAGCAAGTCATGGAAGCCTCTCATCTGCTCCCTCAAGAAATCGCTTGAACATGGCGCCAGATCTACAAGGATACGTAGGCCAATGCACGCTCGGCAACTTAGCCCTAAGGTTACTGGGTCAATGCTCGATCGGTAGCCATGGCTCCCCCCCACAAAGATCTGCGATACGTTCCTCCGAAACATCGGTTACACGCCATCACATCCCAGAAGACGGCATTCTTCATGATATTTGTTGCTTATAGAGCAAAGAGACTTTATCGAAACGTTTCATTCCTTTGCACAGAAGTAACAAATGTATTAAAATACAATTTAAAATTTGGAGACTCACACACACATCATATAAATTTCATGAAGTGTTCATCATATACAAGTTCTGGGAACAGCTCATAAAGACTACTTGCCTTCCATAGATTTCCTGTCCTACGGATTTTGTGTTATTAATGTAGACAATTTAAGTAAATAAGCCACCAAAAGGCAATACACTTCAAGTGTTACCTTATTAAAGTCAGACTGTGATACATTAACGACTTTTGATTTTAGTAGTAGTAGTTGTAGTTATTTGTTGTTTTTCTTTTTTGGGACGAAATTGTTACTGAAATGCAGATTACATGTACATAAAATCTGCACCACCAACATGATTTTAATTGTTGACATATAAACAATGATATAAATTATGAAGAAAATAAAAACAATATTTCACATGTAATTTGTTGGAATGTATATAACCTATCTTCATATAAAATTTCATATTTTTAGCTCTGATTATCCATTAGTTACTTTTATTAAATCCAAACGAAAATTTCACATTGCTTCCCTTTTGTTTTACATTCTATAAAAAATACTTCACTTTAAGAAGGGTTGAAAATTCTATATAATACCCATTATTATATACCATTTCAGGATCCTGTATTAAGTGGCATTAATGTCTCTCCCACCTCAAAAGTTCATATATTATTACTGCTTGTAGGAAATTGGTACAAGGTTTAGAATATATATATATATATATATATATATATATAATGTGATGTTCATATCAGATTCAATGAAAATTAGCCAACTGGATCAAAAATTGAAAGGAAGGAAACACAGACACACACATAAACATCACACTGAAGTCATACGGTATATCTAGTTTTAACTTTTGGCAAGTAGGCTAAGGATGTTACTAATAAAGTCTGTAAAGTATGTATAAGAAAGAAAATGTATGCAAAACAAAGTAATCGCTGTGAGAACGTAATTGTAACATCAACCTTTAACCTTGATGTAATTTAATCATGCTGATGAATCCATATTGTTTTAATGTTATGTTGCAGACTACCTCCAGATGGGGCAGAAATGCTACAGCTAAAACCAGAACATGCCAAAGAAATTCACGATTTGTATCCTGCCAATGACATGGAATCAGTGGAGGTGTTTGAGAAGCTGATCACTGTGTTACCAGCATATGGTATTTTCTCATCAGGTGAGCTAGCTGCATGGATGGTCCAGTCATACTATGGTGCCATGTTCTCCATGCAGACAAGGCCTGAGTTTCGTCGCAAGGGATATGGCATACACCTTGCACAGTATCTCACCAAGGTTGTAACTTTACGAGGCTACATCCCGTATGTGGTGATTCGGCCAGAAAATGATGCTTCACTGAGCTTGTATAAGAAGCTGGGATTTAAAAAACATTATCAGACAGTGCGTGCTGTTCTGCGACCACATGGCTATGACGATGCCAATGATGCACCTGGAGGTGGTGGAAATGATGATGATGATGATACTGCTGCCCCCTCAGACGATTGAATGTCTGATCATTCGGTCAGGTGAAACTGCAGCACAATGCACGCTGATAAGGACAAACATTGCCAAGCTCCCTTCATCTTCTCTCTTGCTTCCATCACTGCATATATTTAAAATACTAAGAATATATTCAGTTCATTTCATGTGTGCTGGCACAGGCCTGGGATCTAATTTCATTCAGACCAATATCATGGTTCACTCTGGTAATTTTAAATTATGCATAATTTGTGAATAACCTGCAGTATAAAATTACTGCTATTCTGTGATAAATAATTGTTAAATGTTTAGTGACAAAATTGATCACTTAGTTTAATAGGATATTGATCTAAGTTGTATAAGAAAAGACTAGTTTTATATTGTACTTTGTTGCTGATCCCTGTGTTGATTTTTAGGAATTTTAGAATTTGGCATGCCTGTACATAATGGATTTGAGCACAAGTACCGTAGTGTAATAGTAAGTGGACATGGTCAATATGGGGTACAGACCATTGCCAGCAGTGACAAGCTGACAGTGAAGTGAAGGAGTCCAAATTCAGTGATAACATAACTTCTTAATTACCAGAGTTGACCACATTACCTTGTGCAGTAAAACCCAGGTGACTTGAAGTGTACAAGTATGCATTTATAATATCATAAAAATAATTCTGTTTCTTACAAATTATGTTACTGTTTCTGACTGTACTAAATTAAACTTATAAGGTAACTGGAAATATGTTATATGAAAATAGTGCCGTTGTAATTAGCATTTTGACAATTAGATTCAGCTGCCGACAATTTAGGTATTTAAATAATCATCTGTACAAGAGTTAATTGATGACTATGTCAATAGTTATTTATTTCAAGACAATGAAATATTTTGAATGTACTGATCATCATCAGGTGGTATAAGGTTTACAAATAAATCACTTATTAATGAATTGTCATCTTTCTAAACAAATACTTATGGAGAAAATAGCTGTTGATATATTTATTAATTAATTGCCATGTAAATGGTTATTAACACCATTTTACTAACATGCTGGAGAATGCAAAAACTAAAGTTTATCAATGCTGATAATCTGTTTAATCTATGCTTATTATTCTATTGGAATTTCCTAGTATGAAAAACAAAAATATTAATTTTGTAAAGTTCTCAAGCAGAAAATCTTCTTCTTAACATATATTTATTTTGTGAAGATATTAATATAAAATATTATTTTTGAGCTTTAAACATTCCATTTTTCTTTTCAATCCTGTGAAAATATTTTGAGTAGATTTTAATCATTGCTTGTTAGTCTTCCTGTAGCCTGTAAACCCTGTATTTCATACTTACTAGCACTCTGAAACTATACCTCAGTAATCTTAAACGATCATAAATTTTATTTGCATTATTTTTGACGTGGCTTAGTGTCTTCAGTACAGTGTGTCTTTAACGGCCATTATTTCACATCCTTTTTTTTATAATTTGCATCATTACCTCCAGTACGCAATCTAGTCGTAGTAAGTTCCAAATTACAAAAATAATGAACACTTGTATGCAATTTCAGTACCAAAGTTCTTTACCGGAATAACGAGAATTCAAATACTACACAGAAGTAGTTAATGTTTTAAAAGAGTGTATTTCTGCACAGGTTTCCAAAGAACAGAGTTTGAGAATTTATGAATGCTTCTAAAAATTATGTATGATTCTATTTTATGCAGTTTTCAAAGTATGTCATGAGTTTATAAGGCTACATGTGGATTATGTAAAAATTTATTTTCAACGTAGAATTCTCTGTATTCAATTACAGACAGTGTTATAACCCAGAAAACTACACACCGCATACAAACTGTCAGGAAAACCTAACATGTTTATTTCCTCTTATGACTACAAAAATTTCTTGACATTAATTCTTGGCATCTCTCAAAATTATATGATTTTGTTACTCAGTAGGATGGTGAAGACACTGAAACTTGAATAACCTTTGCCTATCAAATTCACAATAAGCAATCTGTTAAAATCAGAAAGTAATCAAACAGTGAACTAACTGAATCTGAAATGTTAAACTGGATATTAAGATGCCTTTCTTTAAGATATAACATAGTTGCTGGCAGATGGCTGACAGCACAAAGAAAGAATATAGAACAATAAAAATAAATGGGCCACCACCATTTTCCTTCAACAGATTAGAATTAGTGGCCTATTCCTTTGGCTGATAGGTTACTTGGCTACTCCATGCTGAACTCTTCAAATGAAGTTCAGGGGCTCCTAACTGAAAAATACTGAATATTTACATGGCATACCTAATGATATAGAGGCATTCTAGTTCTAAGTGAATTCCTATTAGCTCTAAAATAATTTTATCATGCAGTAATAGAATTATATCTAATATAAAGGTAACTGTTTTATAAACAGTGACATTAATATTACCCTAGTATCGCTGCCTGTCTGAAAAGCTCCTCTTGAAAGTCAGAGATCAATGGTTCTACAACTGCTATGAATTAAACTGTCATTTTTAGTTCTATTTTAAAAAGAGATAACAGGAATCTGCATAATCCATGACTCATATCTAGCCATTCATAATATCTCAACATACATGCTTGATTTTCATTTCTACAATCAGGGTTTTTTATTGTGTTACATAGTACTGGAATCTTCTTTCTAAAACTAAAAATCTATTTTAAAAATAAATGCATAGTATTCAAATACCACTGCATTTGATAGCACGTTCACCTTTTTATTGGGTATATTACCCTTTCTCTTCCTTTTAAATCAGACACAATACTACGTATGCTTGCATTAACAATTTTTAAAACCATGTTGATGCACTTTTCTGATTCTAAATAAATCACATATATTCCAATCTGTTAGTCATGGTATAATTTTGTCTTCTAGAAGGTTGTTTTCATTTATATATAAGAATTAGGCAGATATTGTTACCTATGATATGAAAATTGTACCAGCAAAGGTAACTGTCAATGAAAAAACTTATTTCAGATTTGAAGATCTCACAGTGGTGACTACTAAAATCACAGTTTTCTTGGATTTTTAACACTTTATAATTTGGTAGATGACCACCAACATTTGGGAGGAACCTGCTGCCCCCATCTCCATTCTCTCCTGAAGATTCCAGGCATTAGATTTCTCTGAAATACAGCACTTACCTACCAAGCCACACAGTGTTATATCCCAGAAGACCAAAAACTTAAAAAACCTGTTACTTTGTACTACTAATAATGGGGGGTATGCAGTAGCATAGTTGGTCGAGGCATTATCCTACAAGTCGGAAGGTTGCAGGTTTGAGTCCTGTTGAGATCATTGCATTTTTTAAATTCACCTAATCCTTCCAGCTGCACTACGGCCCTGGGGTCAACTCAGCCTCTTACAGAAATGAGTACCAGGAATCTCCCGGGGGGGGGGGGGTAGAGGGCGGCCAGCACGTAAGGCTGACAATCTCACTGCCATCTGTGAGTTGAATATCTAGAAAATGTGGGGAACTCAACATCTCACAACCCTATGGGCCTTCATGGCCTGTCATAGGTATAGTTTCGCCTTTTTTTTACTACCAATAAAGTGTAGTGGAAAAACAGGCCATGATGTTATGACATCTGCCAACATAGGAAGAGAAGTAGATAAAACAGCCTCACTTTATGTGACAATTACATATAGCCTAACAAATAACATTTGCATTTAGCAAAACTAGTAAGTGTCCTGGCCTACAGAAGAACTCTGCATCTCATTCAGACATGCCAATTCATATCTTTTCTTAAGAGGAACATCTGTATCACATACGAAGTTTGAAGTTTTCACAGACATGAAAATACAAACTATGTAACATTATACCTGTACTGTGAAATAATACCCTTAAATGAATAACATAAGTGGATTCCAATTTTGTAATTTGGTTATGAATGTATCACCTTCTGTATATATTGTTCATTGTTTCATTGTTGATTACATTTGTAAACATTGCCAATGGAAGATTAGTCCAATTGAGAAATTTGTTACATCTCATATACTCTTCAATTCTTGTTATGGTAAAGAACAGTAGACATTGTTTTCTGTCTCTGATTCTGCTATATGTATATATAATTCCACACCAAATAGTAGTATGATAAATTACCATACAAGCTCGAATATAATTGAATATAAAGTGGCCTCCTAATTCTCTTCAGAAAAAAAAAGTTTTTCTCTTTTGATAAAATTGAGTATGTCATTTAGTTTTGAGTGTTGTCAGTAAAAGCAAGTAAAAACTGTACTTTCTTTTTTATTTATTGAAAGCCATCACAACACAGCAATTAATAATATATGTTTGTAGTTTCAAGTAGTACTTTACTGCATGTTTTGGCTTTCAAGAAGCCACCATCAGGTAAATACACTTAAAAACTTGTGATGGCTTTCAATAAGGAAATATAAAATACAAAAGAGGATGCAGTCACTCAAAAAACTGCACTATTCAAAAATAATAAATTCAAATTTAATCCCTTAAATATAATTCTATATAATTTCACATATATCATTAGAAATGAAAATTAGAACTGCTCATAATCAGCTTCTCCATATTTCTTCTTAAGGGGTCAAAAATTAAGTGAATCCTTTTGTAAGAAGCAGTATTTGAATGAAAACTCATCCTATATTCGGGTTACTATGGTACATTAATTTAATGATTAGATTATTTTGTAAATGTACTCCTCAGTCTCCTTTCTTGTTTTCATTGGTGTACATATGTGGAAAGATACTAATATTATGTTGCTTGGATCTATTTGGGATAGAGGGTCTTGCTCAATGAACCAAGGGTTATACTGTACAAAATCTCTTGCCCTTCACCATAAAATCCCTTTGTTAATATATTCACTCATTCTAGATCACTATGTCAGGTACAGCAACCTTAATTCCACATCCACAGGAAGCACAATAGTAGTTTCCAACATGATTGAGACCAGGGGAGGGATAGAAGGCTCACTCAGTTGTCTAGCTATGGCCAACATATGGCTTTATTCAATGCAGGAAAACAGCATTGTACTTATTACACTTTCACTTCTAGAAGCCTTCCATGTTGAAATATCACATTTATTTTAGAGAGATAAATTTCAAAATAGGCCAGGGCACCTCAGCAACCATTCAGTCACCATTATGCCACAAGTACATCTGCTGTATAGAAAGGTTCAGCTGTTCTTATGAAATAAAAGATGTGCTGAAGATGCCCTGTGCCTTTGTACTGTAGAACCTGAAAGGCACTGGTGTGAATTAAACCAGAAATCCAAGCTTACACTTTTAAATGGATTTATCTCAAAGCTGTCAGACAGACTAGTATTCAACAGTTCTTTCATGCACTGCTTTGTAAAAATTAATTTCTATTTCATATACAGAATTCAGTGTAATATTATACTGGACAGTATGACTAAATATGACTCCTGCAGTTATAAGTTGATAATATTACTACATGTGGATATTAAGACATATGCCACACAAAGTTTAGCTCCAAAACAAATAAAAGTGATTTAAACCCTCAAGGATCTGACCCATACCCCAACACTTGTTTCAAGTACAGAGCTATATAATGGAATCTTTATATTCAAAACTTTTATGGGTAGATTTCAGTACCAAATATGCAAGCCAAGAGAAGGAAGACCTGACATAAATTTATCTGCTAGTATTGGTAAGGTACTATGTTGAGCTGTTTACTGTGCTTCCATTTGAAACAAAAAATTATTTACTCATATGTCTTAACAGTGTTTCTCTGCCTCTTCTTTGAAGATACAGAAATCCAAAACAGAACCCAACTCTAATAAACTTAGTTATCCCCTTTGTTCAGGACACTGTGCTGTATCTTGTTCTTAATAGTGCGTTAAGAAATCTTTAATTACATTTCATGACCACCATCAGAGGTCACAGCCTGTCTGTTGAGAAACTCTTATTTACAGAATAAGGGATCTGGTATAATAAAACTGGTATCCTGTACATCTTACTATGAGTCACAGAGAAATATATTGTAAATTAAATTAGCATATAAATTAAGAAGTATTAATCAATAAGTTAAACATTAAAAATAATTAACCTTTCAAAATGTGTGAACGGTGGGATAAACATGCAAGATCTTTAGCAAACAGAGCATCAGCATTAAATATTTTAGTTTTATTTTGAATCCACATAACTCGACATCCCGTTTG